TTTCTGTTGTGATAATTATGAAGAATGAACAACTTAAATACAGAAAATTGTGCCTATGCTGGTATCATATAGTATGGCTGTTATGGTGCTATAGCTATTTATGTTTGAGTTTCTAGAAAAATTACAAAGGCAGATCTAGAGTACTTTGCCCCCCCCCCAAAGTATTCAGATAATGATCTGTATATTTTTCATATTTTAAGTATCTTTTCTTGAAAAGTACTAAGCATTAAGTTATAAGCTAGATATGTGGAAGACTTCATTTTCATAGCTTTTTGTGCCAAATTAAAAAAAAAAAAACAGATTTAAAAAACTATTGTATTTTTAAATTAAGTACTAGACAATGAGTACATAAAATGTAGCAGAGCAAAATGTCTTTAAGATCAGGCAGTGATAACAGAAAGTTTTTGTTTGTTTGTTTCTAATTATAGGTAAAATTATAAAATCTGTTCCAGGAAAGCTGATGAAAGAGGTGAGTAAGTCTTCCAGGTTGCCAACATTTTAACTTCAATGACTAATTTTATGTGCTACTAACTTATAGGCTAGTCAAAAATTTGTTTGGAAACTCAGGTTTTTGTTTGATTGGGTTTTTTTGCATAATTAGGCAAGTGACAGGTCACTCATATCTTATTTCAGAAAGGTCAGCATTTGGAGCCATTCATCATGAATTTTATCAACTCCTGTGAATCTCCCAAGCCTAAACCAAGTAGGCCTGAACTTACTATTTTGAGTCCCACTTCTGAAAACAACAAGAAGGTACAGTAAGTCATCTTCCTTTCCCACTTTACAGGAGTGGGAAAAATTGACCATACTCTGAAAATGCAAAGAATAAATAGAAAAAAACCATAAATACAAGAGCTTTACCTATTTTGTGTTGTCTTTTCACACGAGAAAGAATAGTAGTGCAGAGAGATTTGTTGTCTTCTGTCCTGTAAATATCTTAGTCTGAATGACTTTTGAGGGTTGGTTGTTGGTTGGGTTTTTTGGGTTTTTTTGTTTTTGTTTTTTAAATTCTTACTGGATTTGAAGATGAGGATACAGAGTAGAGAGCCTGGGAAATACAGAGAGAAGAAGAGGGAAAGCAAAGGTTTAAAATGGGGAATGTTTAAATATCATAAGGCAGTTTCCTTTTTGAAGTGAGACGAGCTTGAGTGTTGGACAAATGTGTGGCTTGTCAAAGTGCTACAAGCCAAAATTGTCAAGGTGCTGATACCTGTTTATCTGCCTTTAAAGCATTAGTATACAGTTCATTAATGTCTGGTGTACGTAATATTAATTGTAGAACTTAACTGCAGTTTCTGTCTTCAACATTGCCACAGCTAAAGCCCAACCCTTGCAATTTTAACCTTTTATTTGACTATAGGAAAAGGTCGTTCCTTTCTTAATCTTCCTGTATTTGTCGCTAGAGACTGGTAAAACTTACTTGAAAGATTTCTGTTAGCTAACAGTAAAGCTACTGTTAGCTTCAGGGGCTTTAAAACGACACTGGTGTCTATATTTCTGTGTTAGATTGCTTTAGAGTGTTAATGTATTTGTGGAATTTACAGAGGAATATTGTTTCTGGACTAGGATTTCAGAGACCCAAGCTCAGTGTTACAGAGTTGATGTGATTTGGGAAAAAATATTTAATGTTCATTCGCTTTGCCATGCGAGAGGTTCTAAAAGAAAACAATACTATATGCTTTTCTGCTCTCTCGTTAGCTTTGGGAAGAGGAGTTGAAACTGGACTATGTAAGCCGGGACATTTCATTTTGCAAAGTGATAAACTGGAGATGTATGATAGTCTAAAGAATAACGCATAGCATGAAAGGGCAAGGGATAAAGATTGGGATTTTCTCCCTCTCTTGTAGTGCAAAAACTAAGAGGTATTAAATAAAGGTGGCAGGAGCCAGGTTCAAAACAAAAAGTGGTAGCTCTTGCAATGGTTAGTGGATTTGTGGAACTCCTTGCCAAAAGATGTTGCGAATATCAGAAGCTTAAACAACTGTAAGGTGAGACTAGACAAATTCACAAAAAAGGAAATGTATTCCGAGTGAAACCTGTAGAGAAACTGCACCCAGCTCTTGAACTTTTTTTTAGTTGAAAACAATTGGAGGCTGGAAGAATATTGGTGGAAAGCACTGTCTATGCCCATTCTCTTCTTGCAAGAGCTAGAAGCCTGGGATCCATTTATGGTTCTTGTTGGTGATGGGCTGTTAAAAAAGTGGACCTTCTTATTTCCCTCACTATGGACATTTTTGTACTGTTATAACACTTACAGAATTTGCAGCTACAAAATTTTTATACTGATTAAGTAAAATGGCAGTTAAATCTGTTAATTTTTTTAGATTTCATCTTCTAAACCTGAAGTCTGAATTACTACAGCCAATATTGTAGTGTTAGCTTCCATGAGCACACACACAAAATTCATTTCAAGTCCTTTCTTACCTTGGACACTATTTCCAAGGATAAGGTATTTTGCTGTTGCTGTCTATTCAGAGGGGCATAAATGTATCAGCAGTTTTAAAAACCAGACGTAGAGTTTTTGACTTGTGCTAGAAACAGTACATGCATAAATATTCAAATGTTTTTTTTATAAAACAGTTGACAGCATACTATATAGTATGAACAATCAGTTAATTTTTTACTGTGATTTGTCAAGAACTACTGAAGTTAGTGATTTTAATACATTTATCATGCTTAAATAAAATATTTGAGTAACAAGCTTTGCACTCTGAAGCATTCCTATGAAGACAGGGTTCTTCCTGTAGTTTGCTTAAAAAACATTATTAAAGAATCAAAATTAATTCTTTAAAGTGGTGTTCAAAACCATTTTGGATTGTAAAAGGTTAAAAAAAATGTATATGGCATTGCTCAGTTAAAATACAAACTCTGAAGTGTCCGTATGTTATTCTCGTAAAAGAACATGTGTACAGAAATTCAGGCTCTGAAATGAGGTTTTCCCAATTCTTTTCAACCATGGTGATGCCAGGAAAGCAAAGAGCTGGCTGCATTTTGGCTTTCATTTTGGAATACTGAAGTTTTCTTAAACCATAAATCTTTACTGCCTTCTGTTCTCTAACGTCATTTTCAGAAATGGTATTGTGGGGGAAACCTCCTTATCACAGTTGACTAACTGTCCACGTATGCACTCCATTGGAGACACAAGTTTGTAGAGTCCGAGTCAAAGTTGTTGCTAGTACTGCTGATTACCCTGTAGGAGGTGCTTTTGTCGTGAGATACGAGTTTCTTTGCAGACAGCAAAAAAGATGAGTCTAGCCCCAGCTCTCCACTCCTTCTCACTATCTATTGTGAGAGTGAGTTCACTGTTTTTCTAAGCAACTTTATTCTAGTTAGCTGTTTTATGAATAAGTAATTGGTTCTGCATATTTTTAGATTTTCTTTTTTCTTTCCCAAAAGAAATCTGTTTTGTTTTGGGGAGCCATTTGCTGTAAATGGATGGAAAGTTTCAGACTTCAGTATATCTCCTGCAGACCTATGATTATTATTTAATGATGGGTGCTTGAGACACTTTGCCTTGGGGGTGCTGCAAGTTCTGTGATGAGATACTCAGTATCTGTGCTCAAATTATACAACGAATTTTGACCAGCAGAGGCACGTATGCATAAGGAATTCATGTGCTGACTGCTTTCTCACTAATTTCCCATCTATCAGTTTAGCCAGAGCACACACACTTACTCACAATAGCTGTAATTATTAGAGATCTGATATCCCAGGTTGTGCCGTGTTATGGTCTCTGCTGAGTCTTGCCATGCACATTGTGAAATTCATCCCTCTTGCGGATTTCTTGGGGTGCTTGTGCCTTCTTTGGAAGACAGTTTTTTCTCTTTCTCAAGTCGGCCCATGCTTGGGAAGAGCTTTGTGCCAGGTGCCAAGACACTGTGCCATTTACATCTTGTCACTTCCTGGATTTGATTTGTAAGCCACACTGGTTTCATCTGCCAGACTGTTTTAGCTCAGATCAGTGATGCTTTTTGGAAGTAAATCTCCTGATCGTCTCTCATACTAGGGAGCTGTTGTAGAACTCATTAACTGAATTTATTTCAGATGAAACTAAGCTGGGAAACGCTGCCTAGGAATGCAGGCACCAAGGGGTGTTCAGTCCAAAGGCCAGACCAAAGGTAGACTGAGGTAACACCCCTCCCTACCCCCCCAAATACATCTGGCATAGACTTCAGTTGTTCAGTTCTGCAGTTTCACTTCTGTTGTGCCACGTGACGTCTTCATGAAGATACAAGCACTGTGCAGCACCCTTACCCAATAGAGGCTGATGATGGAGATGAATGCTAAATGTCTGTACCAGGATTGTGTGAGCTGCCTGTGTGGAGTCAATGAGGAGATCTGGCAGGCAGCCGAAGAGATGGAAGGTTGCAGTTTCTGAGTGCCCATCTGTGAGAAGAGCATGTTATCTCATAGCAAGAAAGTGCCGCAACACAGAATTTTTTGGTAAATGCTAGAGTCAATTTCTAGCTGCTTGTATTGCCACAGTGTTCCCATATGTCTGGCACAGATGTGTTTATTCTAGTATCAACATGTTGGAATTGGCTGAGAGTACAGTACACATTCCCTGGTGCTTGTGCTGCCAACTCTGTTGCCATGAATAGGGTACACCCGGGCTACTTCTTCATCACAGGCTGAATAAGAAATGCCTGAAAGTCTGTCAGGGCAGGTGAAAGCTTGAGTTCAATCAGAAATGTGCCTACTTTCTGAAAGATTTTCTGCATTCTGCTTCCTTTTGAATATTCCTGGTGCGTGTGTATGTTTGTACGTTGTAAGTATCGGTGGAAGGACTTTAGTTAAAAATGCATAATTAACGTGGGTAATCAACCTTAGTACAGCCAGTAGCAATTGGATTTTATCCTGTATCAGATCCACTAGATCGAAAGAGTTACCAACCTCCCTGGTTAAAACAAACAAGCAAACAAAAACCCCTACTCCCCCTTCCTAAGGGCACCAACAGGATTTCTGGCTTTCCCAGCTATGTTTCTATTCTGAAGGTCTGTTAGCAGCTCGATCATCTTCTGAACATACTTTTGTCAGACTTGCTAGAATAGGTCAGGACTTCTCAGCTGATGCAGACTTTGCAAAATATGCCTACAAAGGCATTGTTCTGTTGGCTTGTGATAACCTGCCAACAGCAATAAAAACTGCTTTTGCAACACCAACAGTATAGTGTATGTTTATGCACAGTTACTTGGAGGAAGACACGGTTGCTTTTCAATACACTAACTGATGTGGTTCAGACACTACATACATTCTTTCTTCTTACCATTTTGGTATAGTCATCTGTACTTTACAAATGAGCAGGAAAAACAGTGGAGAGGTTAATGCCTCTGGCTGTGGATATTATTCATAATCGTGGTATTGCTTCTATAAACTTCACACCTATGCTGGAATGTATGGGCGTATATTTGCATATGCACTTACTAACTGTTGAGTAACTTTCTTTTTTCTGTTAGCATTTGTAAGCATTCATACTTATTTTGCTGGTTTTCCCATCGAGGTACAATAGTAGTGCCTATTGTACAAGGGATTACTTTGGTCTTTTTCTTAATACAGGCCTCTTATCTTTCACTTGCTTCAAGAGCTTGGCTTCCATTATTATCCAGTACCAATCCGTGGAATTTCCTCATTGAAAGCCTTTTAAAAATATTTCATGGCTATAGTCACAGTTACTGTTTAATCTTAAAGATAAGAATAATGATAGCATTGGAGTTTGTCGTGCTGGTCTTTTTTTAGTCTGATTACAACAGTGAGCGTTATATCACGTCTCAAATACTAACATGCACAGAAACATTTAAAAGCAAAATCCCGTGCTTATCTGAATTGTGAATATAATCTCAACTTTTGTATTAGATATCCAATTGTATGTTTTTAACTTGGCTTTCCACTGAGCCAAAATCGTGGAAAGTGCAGAAGACCACCTAAGTAGAGATGTAATGCCACTTTGTGTTATGGCTGCTGCATCCTTCAGACGTGCATTGCTAATGACTGTAGAATACACACTTGCACTGGAAGAGTGCGAAGTATATACTTTATAAAAACTGCTCGTTCGCTCAGTAATTTTGGCATGCGTTGATCTGCTGTTGCTTTCTGAAATGCCACGTGCAAGAGTCTAAGCTTTCAAGGCTTGACAATGATCAAGGAACCATTATATTTAAGGTGCAAGACAGATTATCCATGTGTAGAGGTGCATACAACATTCAAAAGATACTGCTTCTGGTTTGGGGTGAAAGTTGAAATAACTTTCAGAAGTCAAAAAGCTTTGCCCTAAGATGGCCTTCACGTTTGATTTTTTTATAGATCACCTACCGGACTGCTGTTAATGATTTAGTTTTGCCTGTAGACACTCCTCTGAACCTCTATCTACATCGCACAATGGGCTGCTTTGAGTTGGCTCAGTATGTATCGCCTTTGTCAGGTCATGGGCTGTACCTAAAAAATAAATGAGGCTCTTGTTTAAGTTACAGTAATTCAACTAAGATTTACCCAGTGTCCTAGTTTCAGTATTGAGGAGGATATAGACTTCAGTTTATACAGGGTTTTTTAAACAACATACCAGGGACGCTTTCATACAGTAGGCATGAATAATTATGTGGGTTTTTTAGGTTTGTTACCTTCCTGGACACAGTCATCCACCAGTGCATTAACCATATTTGCTCTTTGATGTAATTTATGTAATAACTTGGTGTTGTTTAATTTGAGTGAACTTTGTGAAGATAATGCCAGCAGTTCAGCACTTAACAAAAGAGAGGGCCTAAAGAAGTACAAGTCAAGACTTGAGTTTTGCCAGATTTCCCGATGTAATTTTTCCTAAGAGTGCAGAGCATTCTGTTTAGAGACTTGCATGATCAGAGCCTGTTGTGATTTGGATGTTTTATGGCCTTATTTATTTCAGGGAGAATTGCTCTACAGAAAGTGAACCACATATAAGCAAATTACTTCCTATTCCTTGGAACTATTTTTAACTTGGGAGTGATACAGAAAAATCTGTGACAGTACCAATCATCTCAACCTAGGCAGCACTATAATTACGTTGCATTTGCTTCTAGTTCTGGGATTTTTTTTTTTTTTAGAAACTTGGCATAAACTTTTGAACTTTCTTTTCATAATACAGAGTATTTTGTATAAATTCTTTTTTATCTTTAGATCAACAGTTTTAGGGATAGTTTAAAATAAACTTAATGGTGATCACTAGATATTGTCAATTGTGGAGAGCCTCAGGATTCGGAGAACTCCTCCTTTCCAGCTGCTGGAGCCCACAGACTTGGGGCGGGGGAAGAAGTACTGCCTAGGTCGTATGGGACTCCTTATGGGATGCAGGGAAGAGCCTCTTGGGATTTTACAAGTATTGTAATATCTTTTGGGGAAGAACCAAAGGCAAGGAAATGCACGGATCGGGGAAGGGGGGTGGGGAACATGGGAAAATAGAAGGATAAAGGAATAAAATGAGAAATGGGATAAATGGAAAGAAACCCACACTTCAGTGTCTTACAAAGATTCATGAAGTTTTTGCTATAAATAATCAAGCTGGCAGGGGAAAAAGGGATTTCTCTGTGTAAAAAGTTGGATATTTTGTCCAGAAACCATTGTATTTATTTCAAAATGGAAGCCAACAGGAAATTTTAGGAACACTTGGATGTTGTAGGGTTCCCCTGTGATTGAAGGCTGACAAGCTCCGTATCCTTTATGCCCCTCATTGACAGAACAGGGTTCGTCAAAGGAATCAAAGCCTGTGATAAAAGTCTAGATACATGAAGATATCAGGAGCAAAAGGGCTCACGAATTAACGTCTTGGTCACCCTGCTGATTTGTTCTGAATCCAGGTATTTTGGTTGTCGGCTACCTTGGCAACATGTGACATGCTCTGTGTTTTGTTTCCCCCCTTTGGAAAGTGAAGAGGTTAAAAAAAAAAAAAAACAATCTTTGAAAGCTCTGGAAAAAAGCTACTTCTAATTAAAAAAAAAACAAACGAAGAACTGATGGCAATCCTTTTGACTTTGAATACAGTGGTTTCAGTCTTATGTTTCTATTTTTAGCTTTTCAATGATTTATTCAAGAATAATGCAAACCGGTCTGAGAATACAGAAAGACGACAAAATCAGAACTACTTCATGGAAATGATGACTGTAGAAGGAGTCTATGACTACTTAATGTATATTGGTAAGAAGTGATTTCTCTTAATTATTCTTATACTTCATGCCAAATACGAAGTTTTGGTTCTTTGGTAAGAAATAAAATTCTGTTGTAGTAATCATACATAATTCAGCATTAGCAAGCTTAACAGTATACAACTTAGGAACACAGTAAATCTTTAAAATACTTTATTGCTGTGCTAAAATATCATAATTTATCATTCATTATTGCTCAGTTGTTTTGTTATATCTCTTCCTTTCTGTATCTCAGAGTATGAACTTACGGGAGTGGGTCCCTTCCCTTTTCTCAGATGTGCCTAGGCTGCTCATACACTCTAGGAACTAATTAATAAAAGTAGTTAAAGGAAATATTTGATAAGCATTCTGGAGAACAGTGATTTTTCAGCATTGCACTAAGAAAACTAAAATAATATTTGCTTGTTTGCAATCTTTTCTTTCTTTTTTTTCTTTTGAATAAGTAACTCCTTTATCATCATTATTAGAACATTATAAATGTGTGTTACTGTAACTTTGCAGGTAGGGTAGTTTTCCGCATTCCTGACTGGCTGCATCACCTCTTGATGGGAGGAAGAATTCTCTTCAAAAATACATTGGAACTGTACACTGACTATTACTTGCATTATAAGTTAGAACAGCTATTTCAGGAGCACCGGCTGGTTTCTCTGATAACGCTGCTGAGAGGTTAGTAAAAGTTACATCTCTGATGTGAAAATACTGCTTTAGTTTGATAGTTGAAATCCCTTCTTTTAAGTTTCCAAGTACTAAACTTTGCAATGCTTGACTAAAGCTAATGGAGTTTTAAAAACCAAGTTGGCCTATAAAAAGATTTCATTGCAGAAAGATGCTGAGTCAGCCATGTTGTCTGTCAATGATAATTACAGAAAAAAGTATGATGAACAGTAATTTGCTAATGTGTGCAAAGAAGAAGAAAAACAGAATAAAGGCAGTTTAGTATATCAGAGTGCGAATATTTCATGCAATCTTTAAATTACTTTTCACTTGTGTGCTACATCACAGTCCTTTATTGTTAATTTTTTTTGTTCCCTTTGTTGAGCTGGTGGGCTTTTGAGAGGGCTTGAGTGTTCTTGACATTCAAATAAGGAAGGGGAGAGAGGTTAAAAAAAAAATGTAAAAATGACCTCACAACTGTACCTGACTACAGTCTGATCTAAACAACGCATCTGGCCAAAACTCTGGAATCAAGACAGCTCTATCCTTATCAAGCTGGAAAGAAAGCTTGTGAAAGACAAAAAAGGAAAGGAGTAAATCCTTCAGAGCCTAAAACCAAAACTGAGTGCCTAATATTTCTGATGAACAGCAATTCTTGTTTTTTCATGCACTGGTAAATCTGAAATTTTTGACAGTTCCAGACAGTGTTTTAGTACAAGGTATAAATACTGCTTATAGTTTTGAAAGTATAAGGGAAATTGTAAGTAAGGAGATCATAACTAACCTAAAGTAGACTTGATCCAAACCTAGAAGATAATGCTTTAAAAATTTGAAAAGAATGGAAACAAAGTGGCCAAAGATTGTCCTCCACACAGGTGGGATATTCTGAATTTGATCAGGCTAATGTAAGCAAAAGACTATTATCTGGCAAGGCTAGAATTTCCTTCAACCATACAGAAAAGAAGCTCAACTTCGAAGCCATTATCCAAAACATGTTTTATATGTCAATGATGCATAGCTGCCTAAAGACTTTTTTTTCAATGTGTCTTTGCTGCAGATGCTGTGTTCTGTGAGAATACCGAACCTCGCTCTCTCCAGGATAAACAGAAGCGAGCAAAGCAGACTTTTGAAGAAATGATGAGATACATTCCAGGTTCTGTATTTCATGACTCTCTATATGACTATGGTTAATTGTTCAAGCAGATATATAACCCAAATACAGTCACATTAGCTTTCCAAATCAAATAAAACTTACGCTGCTGAGATTTGAGTTGACTAGAATACTAGATGTAAAAACCCAGGAGTTCAGTTTCGTCACTTAAGTGTTGCTGACTAAGGTTGTAGCATAGTGATTAATAAAGACATGATGGAAATAAAGAGCTTTACGACTGTACTTAATACCATAATTTCTTTATGTTTAGAATGCTCCTATGGTTTGTATTTTATCCAGATGAAAACTGGGTTAAAAAAGGCACAGCCTGAAGTCAAGATAAATTTGACCTCTGCTTACACTGTATAAACTAGGGAAGAGGGGCCCATTTGCTAGGTTATTCAGAAAGTGATTAAAAATTTTCAGCTTGTGGTTTATTAAAAAAATGCATTAGGGCAATACATCGATGTTATAAAAAGTGTAATAATTACTTAGGTGTGCAGTCCTGAAGGAAAGGGAGGAAAAAAGGAGGAACCAAAGGAGTGTTTGTTTTTTCATTTACCATTTCAGACAGATAAAATTTGAACTCCTTTAATTTAAAATTTTTTCTTTAATTACTGGAGTTCTAGAACTGTATCATATAGCTGTTTGCAGTGCTTCCTAATGACTTGTGTATTTGTCGTTGGTATCTGGTCTAGATTTAATAGGCAAGTGCATTGGGGAAGAGGCTAAATACGAAGGCATCAGGCTTCTGTTTGACGGACTGCAGCAGCCAGTGCTCAACAAACAGGTAACTTGCAACACGTGAGAAACTTGCCTTTTGGCACAGGATTTCTGGAAGAGAATGTATGGCTATAGCAGAGGAGTGAGCTCTAATTCAGAGTTAAAAATAAAAAGCAGTAGTGTTGCCTTGGAGTGTTCTTAATTTTCTTTTTCTTTTAGTTAACTTATGTTCTGCTGGACATTGGGATTCAAGAACTCTTTCCAGAGCTGAGTAAGGTATGTGCTAACTCTGTTCAAGACCTGCAGAATTCTTCAAGCTGCTAGTGAGTCTGATCGTTGGTGCATTTTTGCTGTTGTTCCCTTGTAATACTAATTTTAAATTTTGGAGAAAATCTGTATTTTACTAATGTGTTGAAATCATCAAAGTCTGGATTATTTACATTTTTGTTAATTAGCTCTTTCCAAATCAGTTTGGGCCCATTTGTCTAGCATACAGCAAGCCTGAGCTGCCTTTCAGTAGAATTGGACAGAGCAATCAATGGTCAGGATCTCTGTGCCTTTCTTTTTGATTGATTGTCTCCACTCTATTTTATGCATTTCCTTATTTAGGAAGTGAGTTCTGCATGCAGAGCTCAGGTTGAGCTTCAGCATTTTTCTTGAGAATATTTGGCAGGAGGGTTTCTTACCTGTAGTTTCGTCACTGCAATGTTAACTCCAGCCATCCAGATGAAGGAGAAGGAATTCACACAACACAAAATGCTATATAAATGTGTATCATTAGGCTTGTGATCCATCTGATATTTGTACTTATGTATATAAAACCTTCACAGAGTTTTACATAGTAATTTTACAGTTTGGTCTTCATGGTAAGCAGGAGGTATTAGCCAGTTAACTAGATATAAAAGAAAAACAATAAAAAAACCCCTCAGTTGTAATAGATGTTCCGTTGCATGAGCCCTGTGTCTGAGAACTGTGGAGTATCAGTAGTGATTTGTTTTGCATGATAAAAAGAAACAAATGCTAGATGTCAGAACAAGCTAGGGCACCTTCCATTGTTTCCACTGAAATAAGACCGGCTTAATAAGTCTAACCTACTCTGTGCATCAGCTCTGCAGCTGGCCTCCTCACATCAGTGTTCAAATAGTTAAAAACAAACAAAAGAAGACCCAACCAACCAAGGGAATAAGGAAGTAGCCTGGAGACTTGTGTGCTGCAAAAAAGACCTGGCTTAGCCCTGCTGTTTTACTCGGCTGAACTGTTCGTATCTCAGCAGCTAATAATCCATATATAGGAACATCGGTCTTTCTTCAGTTGATGCTGAAAAAAACTAAAGGCTTTGTGTGTTAAGCATTTAAATAGTCTTTAAAGCACTGGTCAGGCCCAGAGGGTGGTGATCAGTGGAATGAAGTCTAGTTGGAGGCCAGTAACTAGGGAGGTATCCCAGGGCTCAGTTCTGGATCCAGTCCTGTTTAATGATCTGTATGATGGGGCAGAGTGCAAGGTTGGTGCTGGCACAAAACTGGAAGAAGTGGCTGATACACCAGAGTGTCATGCTGCCATCCAGAGGGACATGGACAGGCTGGAGAAATGGGCTGACAGGAACCTCATGAAGTTCAAAAAAGAGAAGTGCAACGTCCTGTGCCTGGGGAGGAACAACCCCAGACACCAGCATATGCTGGAGCCCACCCAGCTGGAAAGCAGCTTGGCAGAAAAGGAACTGGGGGTCCTGGTGGACAAGAAGTTGACCATGAGCCAGTGATGTGCCCTTGCTGCAAAGAAGGCGAATGGTACCCTGGGCTGCGTTAGGAGGAGTGTTGCCAGCAGGTGGAGGGAGATGGTGCTGCCCCTCTACTCGGCACGGGTGAGGCCACAGCTGGAGTGCTGTGTCCAGTTCTGGGCTCCCCAGCACAAGAAAGATGTGGGCATACTGGAGAGAGTCCAGTGAAAGGCCATGAAGATGATGAAGGGAGTGGAGCATCTCTCCTGTGAGTGTTCAGTCTAGAAGAGACAGCTCAGAGGATCTTACTAACGTATATAAACACCTGAAGAGAGAGTGCAAAGAGGACGGAGCCAGGCTCTTTTCAGTGGTGCCCAGTGACAGGACCAGAGGCAATGAGCACAAACTGAAACACAGGAGGTTCCCTCTGAACATAAGGAAACACTTTTTCACTGTGAGGGTGACCGAGCACTCTCACAGGTTGCCCAGGGAGGCTGTGGAGTCTCCATCCTTGGAGATACTGAGAAGCCAATCTGGGCATGGTCCTGGGCAACCAGCTCTAGGTTTGATCCAGATGACCTCCAGAGGCACCTTCCATGCTGTGATTCCATAACAGTTCCATTTAATGGGGTGAAATATTGTTTTCTTCGAAAACAAATCAAGAAAAGATTATTTAGTCTAAATCAAGATTATGGTTGGTACAACTTCTTAATCCGTCCTTTTGTTCTGTGTAACTGTGACACTGCCTGAACGTTCTGCAGTGTTTCAGAAAACCACCTGCTGAGGAGGGACCTCTAATGCTACCTTTGGTCCTAGTGAAACAGCAGAGTTGAGGCCTGGGCTCCCTCTGTCCCCTGTGACTGAAGCTGATGGGAGCAGAGCGATTTCGGTGTGGAGGAAAGGAGAGAAAATACTCCAACCAGGAACTTCAGCCATTTTCCTATTTTGGATGTACCAAGAGAAATACAGAACAAAGTACTGCTGCTGTGATGATTGACAGCGGGACCTGGTTGTGAGTGTACTAGGACTGTGATGGACTGAGTGAGGCAGCTGAGGAGGGATCACTATGAGAAGGGAAATGCAAGGTGGAGAGGGTATGGGCGAAGGGCAGTGGTTTTCATCTGGAGCCCTAAATAAATAAAAAACCAATTCCCCCAAATCACTGCAAACTGACTGTGAAACCATTTGGGAAAAGAATTGTTTCCTCCAAACAATTGTAATGGGCAAGTATAAAAGTAATGACTGGTTCTTTCTTAGTTACCAGTTACATTGGGGGGGCGGGAATCACGCTGGTGACTGTTCTCTCTGTTCAACAGAGACTGGTCCTTTTTGAGTTGCTTGATACCAAAATGTGTTTGTAGTTACAGTGAAGAACAGAAAAATATTTCAGGTCTGTCAGCATTTAAAGGGAAAGCTGAGCATCCTGGAAGTTTTGCTTTGAGCACTGCTCCTTCAGCAGTGGGATCAGCGGCGGGAGAAATGGGAAGATTTTTGTTAGCGGGGATGTCAATCTGCTTCCCACTCTTGAGATCTGGTATCTTGAAGGTATATCCTGAAGGTATATCCTGCTACATGTACCAATGCGGATATATACTGGATCACTTCAGATACACTGTGTTTAATGGCAGCATGCATAAGTGAACAAGTTCTAACAATAAGAGCTGAAAAACACCTGAGTTTTGCCTTTGATAAAACGTACAGCCAGTCCCTTGGAAGTCTGTCAGACAGGATACAAGGAGAAGGGATAGCTGAGAGAGGAGAAGCATTCCCAGCAGAGGAAGGAAAGAAGTCTAGTTGAAAAAAATACCATGCCAGCGCCATTTCCAGAGCAGAAAATTGCTGTGTTAAGAAAATTGTATTTAGCGGTTACGAATGGGGGAGGTGAGAACTTCCAGAGAAAGAAAATACCTATTTTGAGAAATAGTATTAAAAACCTGAAAGCAGTAGCCTTCCCTTCTCTTAACTCTGGTTTTAAGTGGATGTTTTCAAATACCATTAATCATTGCAGCTCAGTTCAGTCATTTATATGTAAATATGCATTTTCATACTTAATAAGAAATTTTTTTTCTCCATTACTGTTTGACAGGGTCCAAAGGAAGCTAGCTCTGTGTCATGTTGGATGTGAATGCAGGGACCTTGCTGGACACCCAGTAGAAACACCCGCTGTGCACTATTGTAATGGACATGTGACATTTTAACCTTGCATTGTATATTTTCTTGTAAATAACATAAAATTTAAGTTCTAAAAAATCTCCTTATGCAATAAAGACATTAAAATTTAATACCAATTACAAGTAAATAATATATCTGTACTTTTTATTTAAAATTTGTTTTAGCTGTTATCAGTAAAAATCAAATTAATTTCCCCAAAATCTCTGTGTGTGAAATTACAGGATGACATAAAATAAGACAGCTGGGAGACCAGCCAACCAAGTATGCTTTGCTAAAAGAGCAATTACTGTTGTCTTCCTTAAAGGATATGTAGAAAAATTTTCTGGAAGAAGTTGTAGAATGCTCCCATGAAGTTATTTTTAACTGTCTTAACAAATCTTACTAATTTTTCAAAAACAAAATTACATGATTGAATCTATTGCATACAGATAATCTCAGAACTACCTTTGGCATTCATGCTTTCTGTGACCATGGAAAATCATGTGTGTAATTTAGTTTATTTAGTATCTGACCTTCAAATCTAAAGCACTCTTAAATTAATAATGGGTGTGAAAAGTGGTTTTGACTTTTACCTTAGCCTTTATTTTTGTGCGATTTCTTATCTGGGTTTGTCGGGTTTTTTCTGGCACCCTGTTTACAGGCTTAGAAAAGAGGATGTGAGTCTGTTCATAGCATTTTCTAGAAATTTATTAGTATAAAAATGTGTGGAAGATTTTTCCTGTAAATCTTAATTTGTTGGCCCAGCCTTTATAAAAGAGACTTTGAAAAGGACTTTCACGTGTGGGTTTTAAACAAGTTTTACTCACAGAACAATACAGAGATATTTTAATAGGCATTCCTCAAGTTTTCTTTTCAGAGAACACCCACTTTCTCCTTTTACAAGCAGACCAATCTAATGCAGTATTCGTGTTCTCTATCAATACAATCTGCATTATATCTGTATTACTTTTGCATACCTTTTCCTTCTGTTTGTCAAAAGAAGGTTAAAGTGTTATTTCTCTCTGGGTATGCTGAAGGAATCATCATAACTCTTTAAAAACTGGCGTGCAGGTACAGCTTGGTCCATAAGTGCACTCTCCGTTACTGGTTTTATGTTGATTTGGGGAAGACCATTCCGTAAACTAATAACTTCAGGGGCTGGTATTGACAAATCATCAATGCCATGTTATAACTAGTAGCGTGGCAAGGTCAGTTGCTGTTTGTCTCCCTGTTCTAGCACAGCTTACCCAATGCAGCTGTAGTGCAGATCTTTTCATGCGCAACCCTTGAATTTATGTGGAAACTAATGAGGTCTTGAAATTTAAACATACTGATGTTTATCTTAACGCACCTTCTCCTTGAAATTTGCAGGTGCAGTGAATTTAAGAGGCGAGTAGCTTGGGTCTGAAAAGTATAGTGTGCTTTCTAGAAAACCAGCAGGTTTATTCAAAACACTGCGAATCAGTTTAATACAGCAATAAACAACATGGAAACATGTTGATGTCAAAATTCCAAATGTGAACAATCTTAGAAAAATAATCATCATTTGCACTCGTTTATAAGCAATCACTTCTTGATAAAGTGTCAGAAATGTAGACTTTAAGCTGATTCCTGATTTTTATACTCATTACCCTATCTCTTACAACTGTGTATTTTTTTAAACACAGACTTCCATTAGAGGAGATGAGCTTTTGAGTTATGATCACAACTGTGATAAAGCCAGGTTATGCTGTAAAAAGCTCCATTACTGGGCAACTTCCAAAGGTTGCCACAGTGCTGCAGGAGTCAGTGCACGTATCCAACATTGTCTCTGAATGTTGCTGATACAGAGTAATGGTCAGGAGTCCTGTGCTTTGGGCTTTGGAAGAAGGTGTAAAATTGAGCATGTTGATATGAAACATAATCATAGATTGTGTTCTCACTCTAGATACAGTCCCCAAGCTGGTCATATTAAATAGTGAAGTGTATATATACTCAATTTGTTAAAATTGATCAAAATCAAATCAAGCTTTCATTGCATCCTTTATTAATGGAAAACATAAGTGAGATGCTGCATCTTCAAAAGTACAGTGGAAAAACTTCTTTTGATTGCATGTAAATGGCCCTCATTCTGTCAATGACACTGAGTTTAATCCAGCTCTTTCAGGCATTGGTGTAGGTATGATAAATATGACTGGAAGCAAAGTAGAATTATTAGATTGAAAGCTTTAACCCTGAGTGTAGATCAAAGGAATGTATATATACCTTTAATAAATCTATTTCTAGAAGCTTGTTTACATTACTGGAATCAGATTCTTAATCAACTCACTATCCAAAGCAGGTAAAAGAATTTGAAAAAATAAAAATATCCCATTTCGGTGAGTGGTTTTTCATGATGGAGCATTAGTATTCACTGGAACTTTGCTTCTTGAAACCTCAAACTGAATTGCGGGTACCTGCTGATTCAAACTAGGAGAAGTCATGAATTCCGCCCACTCATTCTGCACAATATGCTTCAATGACTCTGCCAGATTAAATTGCTTGTGCTGTTTACCGATGACATGCAGAAACTTAAACACATTTATTTTCAGGTGTAAGAAGAGAGAACAGTTCTCTCTTCCCTTTGTCGGCATCATCTCTCCTCTTGCCTCCTCTCCTCTCCAAACAAAAACATTGTGAGCAAAAATCAAGTATGCAAGAATGTTACAGTGAACAATACAGAAATCAGGGTAAGACTTCCTTCAATAAGGCTTCCAGAAGAAAACTTGATTCGACCTTCAACTGCTGGGTAAACTCTCTTCATTCTCTGGAGGTAACGGGAAACAACCTCAATATCAGGTTCACCTAAACGAACAAACAAACAAAGGTACAGCGTTCTCTGCAGCAGCCAAGCTCTGAACTAAAATTTAAGAACCTGTCTAAAATTGCAGTTTTAGCTCAAGTTTTAAAGCAAACTGTTTTCTACGGTTTGCCATTCTGAATCGGTACACATCAGGACAGCGTAGGGGTGTAGAGAGTTCTTTCTTGTGCACAGATAAAACATCTGTGGTGGTTTGTAGCCAGAATTTTTGGTAGCAACTCATATTTTACTAAAAAAAGAATTCTTTTTGCATCATCTGGCTTTTTTTTGTTTGTTTTGCATCTGTTACAATGGTAACTTCCAGTCAGGTAGATTGAGATAGTCTCCCACCTGTTTGGGGTAGAGTGCTTTAGATCTGGCAAAGCTATCGCCTACACCTCTTCAAATTTAACTTTACTTCTTTAATGAAGAATTTCTAGTCTGTGTGCTGCTGCGTGCACACAAAGTATGATGTGTATTTTCTACAGTGGAAGACCTTCTTCAGTCACTGCTGCCAACCATGTCACAAAGCCCCTTCTGATCCAAACTTGCAATCCTAAAGTGCATCTTAAAAGTAATTATAGTTTTGGCCCTCTGCTATACTGGAAGACTTTACCAGAACCTTTCAAGTTGTTCCCTTTCATTATTCCCAATGATTTCTCTCTCTGTGAATTTATTTCTGCATACACAGATATTTACGGAAAACTACAGCCCCACTAAATTTACAAGCTGTAGGCTGAATTTGATTCAAAACACCAATCTTACCTGTGAGAATCAATTTTAAATTGTAACACCCTGTAGAACCCAAAAAATAGTCTGTAACGAAGGTCCAAAAGGGAAATTTTTTTGGTAGAAGCATGCTTTTACCATCCAGAAGCAGAACATAGGAAATCAAAGTTCTGCAAGATGTAGATGTGCTCCTAGAAGATATTTTTTCTTTTTTTTTTTTTTTTTAAATACAGCACTACATCCTTTTTCTGTTTTCATAAATAATGAATTTTAATCTCAGAATTTTTTTCAAGTTTGTCCTCTGTCCTAAAAGATGTACATGTCAATTGTATGAATGCTGACTTTCTAACAGTTTGCATGCAACTTTAAAGGATCTTAAGGCAGCATTGTGAAACACTTCCTTTCTACCTCTGTAGTGTGGTGTCTGTCGGAACCCTGCGTGCTGCTGCCTGCAGGACTCGAGAGAGTCCCGCTGCTTTCGGATGGGCAGGCGAATTCCCGCAGAGCAAGTTGGCATCTTTCCCCTCGCCCTCTGTGTTGCTCGCCTGAGCTGCATGTCCTTTAGTAGTAGAGGTGACGATTCTGTCTTTGCAGAAGTGGAAATTTAAAGTCTAAATAAAATAGCACCTTTCTTTTTGATGCGTTGTTTAGTAATGAGTACGAGTGCAAGGCAGTACATGTAATGTGTACTCTATAGCGTGTTTTTTGCTTTTTTTCTGGTTTATCATGATCTCAGAACTGCTCTCTAAGCAATGCTGAATTGATAAGGCTTGGTTTCTCTTTGAAACTTTTGTGATTTAACTGAAAAAGAATATAGTTGCTGGCTACAACCAAAACTAGCAATCCAGAGCAGTTAGATTAGAAGCAAATTTAACCTGTCCGATAAAAGCAGAAAATCTGAGACTTGTACTATAAAAAGATCTTTTAACTTTTAGGAATTGTTTGCTACCCTCTTAGTGCCCATACTTACCTTTACTGTACCCCAGATTTTTGTCTCTTAGCATGTGATAGCCGTCTCCTCCAAATAACATATAGGTTGGAAGACTCACATTGTATATTTCATCCATCTGGAGTGGGACGTAGGCTGGGACTCGGCAGGCTGTGCAAAGCACTTCTAAGCTAACAACTCTGCTTCCTGGGGCTCTGGAGAGATCATAGACCACGTGGATGCCTACGAAAATACACGTTTGAATGCCACTTTAGGCAGTTCCTACTGAACATACAGGGCTAGAAGCAGCATCCTCCACCATTTTCAGTGGATTCTTTACGTTAGCTTCTGTGACTGAGAAGTTATTTTGTTCTGAGTGATACCAGTTAATGTCCTATTTTCTTTGCACAATAATCAACTTTTATCCAAAAAAATTCATGAGATCAGAGAGCTGCTGAAGTACTGTCCCACCTCAGTTACTTATCTGATCATCTGTTCTCTTCTTGTCACTACTCCACAGAAGGAAATTACTAGTCTTGGGATTAGGATACTGCAAGATAAAAATACTTTCCCTTATTTTTGTAGTCATATGCTTTCTCATCCCACTGTCTCGTTGGCTGACGTGACTTCTTTTAAAGCCAGCCAGCCACCGTAACTTAGCAGCTAT